GTTTTCCCCATTTTCAATACGGACGATGGCAGCCATATCGGATTTTTTTGCACTTATATTTTACGAAAGGCTAAAAAATGACTCAAAAAATGAACTTCTTGACCTAAAAAAAACCATAAGTAATGTATCACACTTCATATGTGTTGGAAAAAGACAATGCGTAATATCGATTTTTGCCATTTGGCGGCCATCTTTGATTTCAAGGCCTCATGGGTAACGCCCACATTTTAAAAAGAGGCATGGGGGCTAATTTTCTTATTTAGACCTTGAAGATGGTAAAACAAGTCAAAAACGAACTTTGGGAGCCCACGGTCACGGGACTATTGTTTTTTACCCAACTAGTTGTTCATTAGTTTTAATTTTGTTTTTGTTTAGGGGCTGTTGGTTTCTGGTCGAGCACGAAACCTCTTTTGCACTTGGATTGTGTTGGATTTTGAACTTAATCATCTGTCAATGAGGAACAGAGGCCATGAAATTGCCATGTTTTTGGGTGCCTTAAGATAGAATTAACAAAACCACCCTCGTGAGGATCACCGGATGTCTTGGTTTCGTTGACTACATTGCGCAAGTGCTAGAACTTCATGTCTTATCATTATTTTCTTCATGGAGTCATTCAACTCCATGCTAAGCAAAACATTTTTACACAGGATCTATTCCTCTAGATAATTCTTGGAAAACCAAATCATTTCACTGTTGGAGTGATCACCAGTAAACAGCCCCGATATAAATCCTACAGGTATGTGAAGTCTCATGAAACAGAGGCTGAAGAAAAGAGACTTTGCTCCCTTTGTTTGCAAACTCTCTGTGACATTTAGGATGAAATGACAAATAATGATGTCCAAAATGTAATAGAATCGATGCATGAAGGGTTCGTGAACTACACAAAACCAATGGCTCCAAGGCAAAATAACAATGAACACAATTACTGCTAAGTCCAAGTTTTGTGTGGTTATTGTGATTGCTCTGTTTTCCATTTTGTTTGAAACAATCATGACAAAATAGCGCAATAGAATATTGTTTATTACATAGGCAAAATTCTCAATTCATTGGACATGCAATGTATGGCCATATTATCAATATTGATTCTCCTCAATACACAAGCAAAGACAATTTTACTTTTCGCTGACTTCGCAAAAATTTGCCAAGCCTGATTTTTAAGGTCAATTTTGAGTGACCTTGTCTCCGGCGTCTCTCATAATAGATGAATTATTAATGAGTCGTCAGATGATGAAGAATTTATTTTGCTTTAAATTGGCATGCCGCATTTGTGGGTAATGCGCGGCTTTAACACGATGACTGGGTGATTACATGTTCAAGTTTCTTTTGGACGCCATTGAACAAATTGATGAAGAAAGTTCTTTTTTTAAAATGTAGCCTCAATTGTGGTGGAAAAATAAGATTAAGGTAAGACAAATTGATACACACTGCTGTGCAAAGTATGGCTAACATTAATTCCCTCGTTAAAAAGATATTTGAGGATAAGTTGTGCCACGAAAGTTTGACCTCACTATAGATTGTACGCACTATTTTGAACTATTTTCTATTTTAAACGTAGATTTCTATATCTAGATCTATCTACAAAGAACGGATGAGAATGTGTTCCTTGTGAGTAAATGATAGCTAGGAAGGACTTCTTGTATGTTGTTCTATTTTGAACAAAGAACTTAATTTCTAAACTGTCTCGCTTTTGGCATCCGATCTTATACCCTCATCCTATATAAAAAATGTATCGGAACCGTCCCCCCCCCCCCCAACCCCAAATCTCCTACCCCCATCCCCATTCCCCTAAATGAGAAACCTCCCCAGCCAACGCAATAAAGAAGGGACTTTTGAGTGGGATATGGAAAAGATAGGGATTAGTTTTTGGTTGGGCAATAAAGAAAGTAAAGAAAGTAAACTGAGTTTGTGTTACTTCGTATTCCTCTTGCCTTCCTTTTTTGAACCAGTGAGTGAGGGAAGCAAACATGATTAGTAGTCCAGCAGCATAACCACTATGGCAAACAGCTGGTGTTACCAATGAGTGAACAAAAGTTCTTATAAACCTACTTGAGTTAAGTGGGAGTGTTTTTACATTGAAGGGTTTTAACGAGGTTCCTTCACAAAATTAGGAAACTGATGCCATCGGCTTCAAAAAAAAAAAAAAAAGAAGAAAAAAAAAGTAAACTTCTGAGTCGGCTCTACCTCATTTGCATATAACAAACGACTTCCGGTGTTTTTTAGTTGCCATCGTGGACAAGCGCGGCTTTCTCCGTACTGGGGAATTCATCCTCCCTAATAATACAACGTATTTTGCAAGAATTAATCGCGCTGAGAATCTGGTTAGAAACTGAAGAAAACCTGGCAACTCAGCGCTCCTAAACAACGGAGGTAGAAAAATTCTGCGGGGTCAACAATGGCTGCGCCTTGATTCAAGCAATGATAGTACATAACAAGATGGGCCACTTCTCTCTTTGAGCCAATTAAAAAAGTGTCCTCAAAATTTGGTGGCGCCCTCTTCACAAAAACGCACTCTTTGCGAACAGTTACCCTACTTGAGTTTTTAAAAATCAAAGTGAAATTAACAAGTTTTGGGATAAATTTCGGAAGAACGCTTTTTTAAAATGGTTACGCTGACAAAAAATCTCTTCCGGAGGAAAGGGTGATGGTTTTCTTCGTTTAATTTGACTTTAGAATGAAAGGCGAGAGATCATTAAAATAAAAAAATCCTAAAACTCCGCACTGAACATACCTGGACTGCTGATGAACAGCAGTCGATCTGCGCACGCAAGGAGGTGCTATTCCTATTCTTCTTCTGGAAAAACGGAAGAGAGCTTCAAAACAGACTGCAGCGCCATCTGAAGCAAAGAGCATACTTCCTGCGGACACTTTTTGGCTGAGTGGCCCATCTTGTTATTTACTATCTTTGATTCAAGTCTACTAGATCTAGATCTAGATCTAGATCTAGATCTAGATCTAGATTTAATCCCCGACTCAGACCTTCAAAACTTTAAACTGGGCCTAAAAATGCGCAAACTACCGCAATTTTGTCATGAACAGATGGTATAACAGTGGCTTGCGGTCTCTCATCATGATTTTGGAAGCATTGAGTATATTAATCTAGATTTAATAGTGGTCGTTCGTTACGGAAGTCTCCTCCCCCCCCCCCCCCCCCTTTTCAGCCAAACCTCTTCTTTTCGAGGCACTTTCCTTATTATTCGGTAGCCTACTGATTATTGAGATGTGTCTTCTCGAACGCTCCAGGCTACTTGCCAGCATGATACTGGACAACACATACCTTTCACTCTCGGACCTGATGACTCAGTGAGACAGGGCCGCCCCGATTTCTCATCGGTTTCCTTCTCTGCTCTCAACAAGTGCAGCCGCTGCCATAGATACGTTTCCGCTCGCCGATTGACCCTGTGTTCACTTGTTGTGCTGTTTTGTGCGGCATTAGGCTATGTCTCCGTCCGACACTGCCAAACATTTGCTAGATCTATAAGCTTCTTCGCTTCTTCTCCTTCTATTATCTATTTGTGGTGGCCGAATTTTGCTATTCAAGAGGCTTTTTAATGGCTGCATCGATCGACATGCAGTTTTCGAAAAAAAGATTCTTTGAAATATTCTCCCGCTCATGACGCCATTCGTTTTTTTCCGTTTTTGAGATATTTTTACTGCAAAAATGTAAATTTCTTTATTTCGCCGCTCGCTTTTGTAGGCCGACGCTTCTGTCTCTGTAATTTTAGAAAATCCACCAGGTTTTTTTTTTTTCAAGTCGTACTTCCGTTCGATTCTGTCTCGCATTGTCGTGCAATACTGAGCATTATTTTAAGTGTGCGACACGTTTAGATCTAGATGTAGATCTAGCCTCATGTTTTCTTTTTTTACTTGGTGCTAAATTCGACTGTGATCCTTTCGTTTGATGCCCATCATCGCTTTTTCTGGACTCCTTTGTCAATTATATATATTTTTTTTGCTACTGGGAACAATCAACACGCTTCTGTACAACCACGAAAGCGGAATAGAGAATCAGTCTAAGCATCTATTATATATTTGACAACTTGGAAACACATGTGTCACTTTTCCCTCAAGATTTATTGCACTATTCCAGTAGAGTGTAAATAAAGTAGACCAATGATATTCAGTTGATGTTAATGCACCGATCATTCCTTTTATCGAAAGGGGCCCAGCTAGTGTCGACATAAAACTGGTGGCGCCGAACTTTGCGCCACTTTGCGGAAGAAGCTACACATTCTTCAGCTCTCAAAGTTTGAGCAAGTTATAGCTTGCCAAAATGAAAAACGGTATGGTTAATTCACAGACAATATTTGACCTCCAGTACCAATTTTTATCAAACTTTTACCAGTAATCTCATATCAATTAGTCTTATTACTCGTATATATGCGTTAACAGCGAGTATAAATAGGTAATGTTTTCTTTTTGTCTTTGTTTAAAAATAATTTGCTGATGCAAAGAATGTGATGACTTAAATCTACAGTGTGACTCGTATCATGTCGTCATGCTTTGTACTTAAAAGGTACAGAGTGTCTCTCTTGTCACCCGATTAGGGGGGGGGGGATTGGGGTAAGGAGGTAGAGGCCAATACTGCTGTAGAGAGGATGATGGTTTTGGGAGCACAGAAAGGAAGAGGAAAATCTGGCACCCTTGCAGGAAAGAAAAGAAGAACGTTCAACCAGATGCACTGGCACTATCAGTAGAAAGACCCTCAGCAGCATTTTGGAGAGAGTAACATGGCATCAGCCATTTTTCAGTTTTGGAAATTTCTATGTGTCATGTTTTCAAAGGGAGTTTTACTTGTTTGAACCAAAAAAGTAGAATAAACATAATGTATGACATGAATTGTGGTGATCGATCAAGATTTATCCTACGAGTAAAATGGACAAGTTTGTAATCATGAGTTTTAACGAGTGATTACAATTGGCAATTTCACAAGTAGGATAAACCATGTTCTACCACCATAACGAGTGTAATACATTTTTTTATACTTTACTTTTAATTTTTCATCCTCTGTTGCCGTTAAGCGTCGAGGGGGTATGCAGTTTTCTATGGTAGGCCAGCTCCACAACTCTTTCAGTTGTGATACTATGTTTCTTCAGGGTTTCCTTGACTCCCTCAACACACATTTTGCGTGGCCTTCCTCTTTCTTTATAGCCGGAGTGCTTGGTGTTGTAGGCTCTCGAGGCTGGCTGTCCATGTGGCATGCGTAACAGTTGGCCAAACCATTTTATTATGTCTTTCTGTGTAATACAGGCAGGACTCAAAGCCGATAGCTGCTCTTACTTAATACTTCTTCATTTCCCTGCCTGTCTCGTCTTGTGATGTTAAGGGTTTTGCGGAGACATTTCATTTCGCATGCAGTAATTTTGCTTTCTTGGGTTTTGCTTTAATGTCCAGGTCTGGCACTGGTAGCATAATGTTGGTATGATAAGCTGTCTCTTTGTGCCCATGGAGGTGTTCGGATGACATAGGAGGGGTGCGAGCTGATACATGACAGCGTTGGCTTTTCGAGCTCGCATTTCTATTTCTCTGTCTATGGACCCATTTTCAGAAAAATTACTGCCAAGATATCTATACTCCTTCACCTCTTTCAATTGTTTACTATTTACAAGGATGTTCAGGGACAACGGTTTCGGCTCACTTTCATAACTTTTTTCCATGCAAAATTTCTCGCAGTGCTGTTTGTTCAGTTCAGTAGAGTGATTTTGGAGGCTTTGTTGGTTTGGACAATCAAGACATTGGTCGTCTACGAAAAGAAGTTCATTTATGCTCTCTGGGCTTTGGTTTGAGTCTTGCGTTATTGTGTCCATTTTTATTATCTATTTGTGGTGGCCGAATTTTGCTATTCAAAAGGCTCTTTAATGGCTACATCGATCGACATGAGATTTTTGTCAAAAGATTCTTTAAAATATTCTCCAGAGCATGACGTCCTTGGTTGTTTCAGTTTTGATATTTTTTTGCTGCAAAAAGCTAACTTTCTTTATTTCGCCGACACTTCTGTCTCTGTAATTTTAGAAAATCCCGAAGTGATATTTCGCGAGGCGCATTTTGTTCTTAGAGTATAGATCTAGACTTTATAATTATGACTTTAAGTTGATATTAAAGCACCGATCATTCCTTTCATCGAAAGGGGGCCCAGCTAGTATATTATAAACAGGAGGGGAGAAAAAATGCATCCCTGTCGTACTCCAGACCTTACTTTGATTCAGTCTGTATTGCCTTCCTTCGTTCTTACTGAGCTTCTGCTGTTGGTATACATGTATAGAGCTCTGACATATCTAACATTTGTCCTCTGACCTCATACTTTTCGGGTGTCTTCCAGAATTTTGCATGGTTTATTCTTTCAAAAACCTTCTCTTGGTCTATAAAGACGATGTTGGATTCTTTTTTTGTTTTCGATTGTTTTCTCGTATCACTGTCGTAATGCGAATACATCATCCATGCATCCTCTTCCCTTTTGGAATCCAAACTGAGCTTGGCTCGGATTTCTCTCTACAATAGGTCTTATCCGCTGTTCTAGTATCTTTGCGTAAATTTTCCCTGCGTGGCCTAATAAAGAGATGCCTCGGTATGTTGTGCAGTCGTGTTTGTTGCTTTTCTTTTTCCGTAATGGGACAACTATGGCTCTCTGCCTTTCATCTGGACATTTCCTTTGCTCCCACCTTCTATTAAAAATTTGCCTCAGCCACAGTATACCAGTGTTTCCACAAGCTCTTAAGGCCTCCAAAGTGATTTCATCTGGTCCTGGGGCTTTGTTCTTGGGGCTAGTTTAGAGTGCCTTTTCGATTTCACTGAGAAGTATGAGTGGTTCTGTTTGTTCTCCATATGATTGGTGGAACTCTTCTTGTTGTCCGCGGCAAGCGTCAGGGTTGGGTAGTTCTTGGAAGTCATTTTCCCATCTTTTCTTAATGGCATGTTAACTGAGAATGAGAATGACATTTCCCTCTTTATCGTTTATAATGCATGTCGGGTTGTAAGCGGCTTTCCTTACCCGCATACTGTTCACGCTTATATAAAACTCTATATGGTTTTCCTTGCAGATTTTGGTCAGTTTCTCGCCATTTTCCATGCATTTTCTTTGGCAGTTTTGATAATTCTTTTTGGTTTCTCTTCTCGTTTTCCTGTATTCTATAATAGTCCCCTTCTATCTCTGACTTCTGAGATTTCTTGAACATCTTGTTTTTCATTTAATTGCTTCTTTGGTTTAAATTCGTCATTCCACCAGCACGTTGTTCTGCCTTTGTTTCCGCCTATTTGTTTAGTGCCACAACTGTTTTTCAGCATTTCTTACAAGGATTCTTTGAATGTTTGCCTTTCGTCTTCTACGTCTTTGGTCTCTGGTGACAGCTTATTGCATTCCTTGGTAAAGTCATCCTCGATTGCCTTCTTGATATCTGGTTCTTCCAATTGTCTTAGGTTGGTCGTGTTTTTCCCCTGTTCTTCTTTTTTGTTTTCGTTTTACATTGCTGGTTGTGAGAGTAATTATCACAGGTCGGTGGTCCGCGTAGGTGATGTAGTTTGGAACCGCTCTCGAATCTTTGGCTGTATGTCTTTGTTATCTGCGCATCAGGACGAAAACTATTTTTTTTAAAAATACCATACTGATATCAGCTGGCGAAATAGATCCGCACCCACAAAGTTCAAAGTTGTAGTAATTTTAGTATTTCATTTTTTCCCGGGCACAGCTATGTATGTAGCTCATAGCCGGCAGTGAAGGGGTTAATTTGCATGGGACATCGTCATTGGTAAGGTATCAATTGACAGCACACAGGTTTCATATTTTACATAGCGAGTGCACGTAGAGACTTTGCGTGTGTGTGTGCCTGCGTGCGTGCGTGTGTGTGTGTGTGGGG